TGATTATTGTTTAACATTTTATGTTGTCTTTGGTATTGTTTTATTTTAAATTATTTTTTTCATTTTTTTTTTTGTTTAAGGCGAGGCCAGTTTAGAAACAACTAATTCTAGGCCTACGTTGAGGTAACTTTATTAGTAAGAATAAAAATAGGAATTGTGTAGAAAGATACCATTTACTTTTTGTACAAGGAGGTCACAACTATTCCACTTATTAAATGTCAAATAGGACGGCTTAGGGTGAGTCAGGAAGTCAAAGAATTTTTTATTTTTTTTGGATCTTTGTATCTTATTAATGACATTCTTACAATTACCCATTTTAAAATCTAAGAGATAAGAATGATTGTGATATCCTTGTACAAAAAGTAAATGGGTTCTTTGTAGACAATCCTATAAAAATAAAATTTCATTAAAGAATTGGATTTTCAAGACTACAATTACAAATTTGGTCAAACTACAGACTTCTTCAAAGGGTTAACTTGAGAAGATGAGAAATGTAGTCTTGAAGATGAAAGAGTTTAGATAAGGTTGCAACCTTAAAATGCAGAACTAAAGATGTAACTAAAATATCCATCGAACAAGGTTGTTTTAATGTTGAAATCCATCTAATTGATCATCTCGACATCAAGATGTATGAATATATATATATATATATATATATAAAAAGAAAAGATTTTGAGTTCCAAAAGTAGTGCATCTTGCAACACATTATCAAGACTGTCAATTTTCAAGATTTTCTTAGGTTTGTAGATCTACTTGATTTTTACTATTTTTGGGGTTGGAAATTTTAAAATTAGATGTGAAAATAGATTTTTAGATAATCCTAATAATGTTTTGCACCAAAATTACATGTTAGAATAAAATTTGGAGGTGCGCCTTAATTGGATTGTTTAAGGTTGCAACCTTTTAGAAACCACACCCTTCCTTAAAAGAAATAGTTAGTTTATAAATAATGGAATTGTATATAGTTAGACTATTTCCCTTTGGTGCAAGGGTGTCATAATTATTTATAGAAAAAGTATATAATGAGACTATTTATCTTTGGTACAAGGTGGTCAAAATTCGTCTTGACTATTGGATGTGAAATTCGATAGCTGCATTTATTTCATTAACCAAATTCAAACTTCAAAAGAAATTTTCTCGAACTTTGCGACATAGCCAAACTATCGGAATTCATATCGAATGGTTGTAATGTGATAGGTTGGATACCACAAAGTTCGAGAAATTTTTTTTAGACTTTTAGATCGGTCAATAGAATAAATATAGTAAAAAACTTTCACATCTAATAGTCAAGATTAATTCTAACCACCTATGCTTATACCATAGGTAAATGGTCTCATTGTATATACTTTTCCACAATGTGTTAGAGAGAGATGTGCAGTCCATTAGGTAAAGGCAAAGTTTATATAGAGCCGATGCTCTAAACAATCAAATTAGAGCCTACCTCAAAAATTTCACTAGAAAAGGTTGTTTTGATGCCCAAATATCATCAAATTGATCATCTCGGCATCAAGATACATAGACATGAAAAGAAAATTAGATTTCAATTTTTGGAAATAGTGTATTTTTTAACGCATTTTTCAACCGTCAATTTTCAAGATTTCCAAGTTTTCATAGATCTATCGATCTAGACTATTTTTGAAGCTTTAAACTTAATAAATAAATATGAAAATATATTTTAAGGCTATCACAAAGATTTCCAATATTGAAACCACATTTCTCGACACTATTTGAAGGTAGGCTCCAATTTAATTGTTTAGAGCCTAAGCCCTATACAAACCGGAACCTTATGTAAATATTCCTTGCCTTATTTCTGAGATATTTTTAAGAAACTACAGGGGGTTAGAGAAGATTAACAGTGTCAAGACCATAGTTAGCAAATCGCCGTTTAATTGGCGATTTTTTAAAAAATTTGGCGTTTTTATGGAAACAGTTTTAAATGGGGACTTTTTGAAAACGCCCGCAAAAAATCGCGTAACTTTCATAAACCATTTAAAACGGGTTTTTTTCAAAATATGATTTAAATCAGGGAAAAAAATCGTATCCTTTTTTACCTATATTTTTTTTTGAAAAATATTTTTTTTTCTATTTGTTCTATTGCAGCCATGGCTACTTTCATGCTTTAAAAAAAACATTACTTCAAATAAAAAACTGAAATAGAAAATTTTACCCCCACTGTGTTCTTCAAAGCCAGAGTTGTAGATTGATGGTATGAATTTTAAAAAAAAAACATAATTAAATAAATACAACTTTCAGTTGTCCTTCTGGAAAATCATTGTGTAAATGAAACACTGTTTATAGCAAACCATTTTGTAAAGTAAATCATTGTGTAAAGAAATCATATACAGGCAGATTGTTGTGATTATTTGTGATAATTGTTTTTATGAAAATACTAAAGCTCAAAGCATAATTTTTTATTGATGAATGAGAAGCAGGGAGTGTAACTACCGGACCAAGTAATCAATATTTTGTTTTTGATTATGTAAACTGTAAACTTACAGAAGCAAGCAATTGTACATGTAGGATTAGTTCCCCAAAGTTAATCATTTAGCTCTGTTTTCTCAAGAAAATGAAAAGCTGTCTTCAAACTATCCCAAATCAGAGTGAAAAGCCCTCTTCAAATTATCCCAAATCAACATCCCATCTTCCTAAATCAGCATCCTATCTTCCTTTTCACCCTCTAAAAATCAGTTAGAGCCTCTTCCATTGGAGTTCTTCCTTCTCTCTCTCTAAAAATCAGTTAGGGCCCCTTCCATTAGGGTTTGTGAAAACCATTTTCTTCTTCCTTCTTCTCTCTATAAACCCTAATGGCTATGAGCCGAACTCTAATTTTTGTCTCTTTCTTCTTCCTTCCTCTCTCTTCTCTCTTCTCTCTTCTTCTCTTCTTCCTTCTTCCTTCTTCGTTCTTTCTTCTTCCTTCTTCTCTCTCTACACAGTAAACACATGTAAAACCCAAATTTCTACTACTTCTTTTCAACTAAAGAAATTTATAAAACTTTAACCATAATTATGGAGTTACCATAACAACCATACCACAGTTAAATAATTGTAATGAGAATACAAAATTCGTGTATTTATTTTTTGGTACCTACTAAGTAAGAGTTATGTTTAAGTATTTAATAAATAAATTTATAGTATATTTGTCACCATACCATATTTAAAGTATTTTAATGAATAAAGTTATATAGTATATTTGTTTTTGTATGTAATAAGTAGGTGTGATGTTTCTTAAAGTATTTAATGGGTAGATTTATACGGTACTTTTTTTGGTATATACTAATTAATTATATATTTAATATTGGATGAGAGTCACGAGATATCTAAATTAATTGACTTAATTATATTAGTCTAGTAAAGTTTTTATAGATGAATTAGTAATTGATGGCTTTGACACAATTTTTATTTTTTAGAATTTCAAAATTTCAAATATTATAAATTTATCTGATGTTTTTACTCCAATTTTTTGTGCCTAATCCGATATATTAGCGATATCTTAATATGAAGTATTTTTGTCGATCCATATTTTTTATCCAATTTTTCATCCAATTTTTTAAAATAAAAATGATTTATTTCTGACTTTATGGTGAGCCGATTATTGATAGTTTCCGAGTTGCTAACTATGGTCAAGACAGGTAGTCCTCCTTTAAACAGATGTACAACTTTTAATTATAATAAAGACTATGAGTCAGACCTTATCGAGAGAAGATCTTCTCATGCATGTATAGAGGCTGCCTTACGTCGTATCCATACAACGTTTTATTATAGGAAAGGCTCTGCGTTAACATTGGATGTATTCACTGTACATTAAGCTCCAAGAAGACATACTTTAGGAAAACATTTGTATCTTATTAATTTTCTTTTTTGTAAAACAGCTCCCATTTTTTCTGTAAGAAGTTTCAATTTAAGCTTCCTATGAATACCCTGTCAAAGGTGAACATAGACTTGCAAAACATCAACACAGGGTTGAAGAAAATCACAGGCTAAAGTCTAGTTTTTATTTTGATTATTAGTGTTAGTCAAAATACTTTTTGCAATGTCTTTCTATTTGTGTAAAAGTTATTCAAATTGGTTTTTTGATGTTTTCTTTTGTACTATCATATCTTGGGTTTTGCAGTATGGGTGAAATTACAAGCCAGAGCATATGCCTTTTTGTGATTATTTTGTTATCCTTTGGCGATGGAGTCAAAGGCAGGAGAAGTAGCCTTAGCTATAAAAATACTGTTAAAACCATCCACGTACTTTCCACGCTTTCTTTTGTAAAGTTAAATTTCATGACGTAAGGATTTTTACATTTTTTTTTTTGTGAAGTTTTGATAATGGTTATTTTGGCCTTTGTTGTTGCAGAGTGATGGAGATGTAATTGATTGTGTTGATATTTACAAACAACCTGCCTTTGATCATCCTCTCCTCAAGAATCACACTATTCAGGTCTGTTTGTCTATTTTTTTATGTTGATTTTTTATCTTATTGTTTTGGAAAAAAAAACTAATTATTGCTTTCTAAAGATAACGCCCTTCCTGTTGAATCAATGTGCATCACAGTCCTCTAGATGTGAGTGTGCAAGTGTACCGTGCTCCATATGACCTTTGTTTTTTTTTTTTTTTGGGTAATTCAGTGGGAAAAACAGGGCCCTATTCATTTTTTCAAGTAGAGGAGAAGTTAGCTTTTGAAAGGTATTAGTGGGGTGGTGTTAGTGGTGTGAATGGAAATCACAATGCGGTGACTAAGATGTGGGGTGCTACCACCATTATCCTAGCCCCATTAATTCCTAGAACAAAGTCAAAGATGATATTCCCATATTTAATCATGATTTATGCTACAGTTTTCAACAAGGAATTGAAATTCACTACTTCTTTTAATAATAAATAATTTTACTTTTCAAAAGTAATGATTGGAAAGGATATTGTTTTTTTTTTAATTACCCCAAAAAAAAGATATTGTTTTGAAATAACTCGTTATGTTTTCAATGCAAAAATAAACAAGTTTTTCATTATTTTTTTATTTTGGAAAAATTACTAAAAAAGTATAGTTTGCAAAAGGCTAAGGCGCTAAACAATCAAAGTAAGGTACAACTTTGTGGTGGCATGAAAATTCATTTCCATCTCTAATTAAAAAATTTAAAGCATAAAAAATAGCAAAGATCGAGTAGATCTACGAACACTTGAAACTTTTGAAAAATGAAGGGCTAGACAATGCATTATTAGATGCACTATTTTTAATATTTTAAATCTATTTTTTCTTATGTCCATACATCTTGAAGTCAAGATGATCAATTTGGGGATTTTTGGATATCAAAACAACTTGTTCTCGTATCTTTTTGAGGTGCGCCTTAAAATGATTGTTTAGGGCCTCACCTTTATATAAACGTTTTCCTTCTTAAAATCCCTCAAGTTTGATGTTCTCCTCATAATGCCCCCCATTGAAAAGTCTATCTCACCCATTAACCGAAACGCTTTTTTTGTGCACTGACTCATGGTACTTTTTAGTTATATTTATGATGAAAATGTTTTTTATTGTGACTCTTACAAAAGTTAAAATAAACATTCATATTCCTCTCTCTTTCCCCTTTTTCTCTCTTTAAGCCTGCATTCCATTCATATTCATCTCTATCTTTCTCTCTATAAAAACATAAATAGGTTTGTTGGTTTCTCTCTATAAAACTCTTTATCTGAAAATGTGAATGGCTTTGTTGGTTTCTCTATCTAAAGCTCTCTTTCTAAAGTATGAATGGTTTTGTTGGTTTCTCTCTCTAAGGGTACACATGGGTTTATTTGTTTCTCTCTTTCTTTCCCATTTTTTCTCTCTATCTCTTATGTCTCTAAAGAGAGAATCTAACTAAACTAGCTATATTTTTTAAGAGAGATGAATCTAGCCCTAGAGAGCAAAAAATGAGAGAGGGCTATTTTTATAAAAAATAAAGCTAGAAAGTGACCAGGAGTTAAGTGAGGAAGACATATATGTTGGGGCAATGGGTGAGCAAGAGTTTTCAACTGGGGGCATTATGAGGAGAACATCCAACATGGGGGAGTTTCATTAAAAAAAATTATTATTAAAGAATAGTCTCCTAAGAATTGTTTGTAATATGTGCCTTGGTGTAATATAAACCTTCTTTCAGAGGCCTACTAATTTTTGTTAAAGTGCCGATTGATAGTTATAGTAATCAAATATTGAGTTTCCTATATTTAATTATTTTGTGGGATTATAAGTGTAATTCCACAAAATAGAAAACGCAATATAGAAAATTTAATATCTTGTAATATACAAGATAGGAAACTGAATATCTAGCTACTATAACTTTCAAAAGTGCCTCTAGCTACTATAACTTTCAAAAGTGCCTCTCTCACTTTCTCTCTACCTGACAACTAATAGATGGGATTGCTCTCTCCCAAGCCAATAGATGTGTGGGATTGCACAACTTTGAAGATAGAAACCCACGCATGTTGAACAAAGAGAGAGAGAGTAGTGCATTATCCATTTCTTTCGAATTTGGGGTATATACATAAAGAGGGTTGAGAAGCTTATCTCTGCAATATATATGAAGATTTTCTATCATGACCAAACCACATTGGTTAGTCGATCGAGTTTGATAGCTTGTTCTTTGGCTAGTTTAGTCTAAAGCAAAAGTCCGATTTAATGAAAAATCAATTAAATTGAATGTGGCTTTCACTAGAGAGGGAGCTAGATTTAAGAATTTGGATTGATTTAACAAGGTTGAATAAATTCCATTTGTAAGATGTGTGAAGTCAGGCCAACTATTGAAAACTAGCTTCCTGACAACTGAAAGCCCGAGATTTATTTTAACTAATTTTCAGTTAAATCTAGTTTTTCCTTTAGGCTAAACTAGTCCAAGTATTACCATACCACTACAACTAAGTCTAAGAATTCATGATTTCATTTAAGTAACCCTTTAAGATGGACCATAAAGGACCACTTGGGAGGTGTTGAAGCCCAAAACAGGACTACTGAGGTGTTTACACACCAAAAAGGCTCCAATTAATCTCCTCAAACTAAAAAACAGTCCAAAAACAATGCTCCAAATCTTAAACTACCCTAAATCAAATCGGAATATTCAAAGGCATATTTGAGCACCAAACCGAATAAAATTTCTTTGAATATTTGAGCACCAAACCGAATAAAATTGGGAGATAGCAATTTTTTACTCTTTTTGGCCCCTTAACCCCTAAAAAGTGGTTTTTACGTTGGCTAATAACCAAGTGTCGTATTTGAGAGGAACACGTGATCATTTTTACACATGGAACACTCATTTCTTGTAATTTGGATTTTAATTCTCTATTCTGATAAAATAGATGAGACCTAGTTGGTATCTGAATGACGCATCAGCAGAGCATAAGATTTCAAGAGATGAAAGGGCCGTAAGCTTTCAAGTATGGAATAAATTCGAAAAGTGCCCAGAAGAAACAATTCCAATACGCAGGACTCAAAGAAATGACAATGTCGTCTCAGATTTTGTTAGGGCTTTTGTGGAGAAAGGCACAGAAGAAATTCCTTTTCCTAAGAAAGAAAAATATGGAGATCAACATGCTGAGGTAAAATAAATAAATATGTTCATTCTTCCTTTTTTCTTCTTCTTTTTCTTTTTTTTTTTTCTTTTTTTATTTTTTTATTTTTTTATTTTTTTATTTTTTTTGTTCATAGAACGCATTGTAGGAAAACATTTAGTGGCCCTTGATTAAAAGTAATGAAAAAGAAAAGTCATTCTATTCCTACCAAGAATGCCATTCAGATGAAAGAAAGGGCAAAATTTTCAATGGAATTGATATGCTATTGATAATTAGGCTTTTCATAGTTTACTATAAGTCTAAAGCTATATTCGGCAAGCTTTCGTACTTTCAACCAGCATTTTCTGCCATGAGTCCTTTTTCTTAAAAGTCTTTCGAAATATAAGGAAAATAACCCTCCCGCAAGATCTCAAGATTATTTTTGTTTTAGTTATGTATTTGTATATTTTTCGATATTTTATGGTTACGTATTCCATCGTGCTGTTAGATTTTAAACGAGGTCATAACTGCTTTGATCTCGTGCTTTTTATTTATGTAAAGTTTGTTTCAATGATATTATTAAATTGGTTTAACTGCCTCAAACAATTATTAATTAGATGACAACAACAAAATTTAATATTATTGTCATCATCATTCGAGACTTATCCTCCCAATTTGGGGTTAACTATGTGAGTCATGTTTCATCATTTTGCTTTATCAAGGGTCATACCATTAGTAAGACCATATGTCAACATATATTTTCTCACTACTTCCATCTATATCCTTTTGGGCATTTCTTTTGCTCTTTTAGAGCCTTCCACCTGAACCAAATTACACATCCTAACTGGTGTTGTATTAGGCCAACACTGCATTGGGCCAGACCACTTAACTCTACTTTTCCTCATCTTATTACATATTGAAGCCACACCTAAATTCCCTCAAGTGTATTCATTTCAGATTCTACCCTTTCTTGTATTGCCACTAATCCATCTCAAAATTCTCATCTCAGCTAAACTCATCCTATAGATATGATTTTTTACCGTCCAACATTCTATCCCTTAAAGCTTGGCTGGTATTACAGTTGTCCTATGGAGCTTTTCCTTCAATTTTATTTACATGCTGCAATCATATAAAACTCTAGATGTATATCTCCATTTCACCTACCTAGCTCTAATTCTATCAATTCTTCCTAAATCTCTCAATTATCTTAGATTATTGACTCAAAATATCGAAAATAATCCCTTTTATGATTTCTTGACCCCATCCATCGTTCTACTCATATTATTACTAAACTTGCATTTCATATATTATGTCTTAATCTAACTAATTTTAAAACCTTTAGATTCTAGAGTATTCTTTCAAAGTTCTAATTTTGCATTGGCACCGTCCCTAATCTCATCAATTAAAACCATTTCATCTTCCAATAACATGCATCACAATACCTCATCTTGTAAGTGCCAAGTTAACTCATCCATAATCAAAACAAAGAGATGTGGGCTAAAAAAATTACGTTATAAAATTCCTTGGTATTGATGGCTCCTTAGAGCAAAGATGGCAAATTTGTAATCTAGCACCTCTTAAGTCACCCTTGTCTAATGACATGGAGATCCCTACCTGTTCCAATTCCAAACCCTGAAGAAGACTTTCTAATAAAAAATATATTTTACATTCAAAACCTTGAACAAGCAGGTATATTTCAGCCATTTGGGTAAAGGGCCCAAATCACAACGATGTCTTCAATTTTTTAGGTCTGAAACCAAAAATAGGGGTTTCGTTTGGGTTTCAAACCCCTCTTCCGGCTTTTTTCTACTAAAATGAATTAGGCACCTATGTCAAATGATTTCTAAGAAATAAACGTTGTATAGTTAAATTAGTTGATTCAATGACCAGGGTTGATGGATCGACTTTTTTTTAATATTTCCCCTATATTCAAGTTTCTTTTTTATTTATTTGATTCTAAGCTTTTTTTTGTGCACAATTAGTATGCTGGAATGTTCGCGAGTAAGAAAGATTTTTATGGAGCAATACAAGCTGTCAGCGCTTGGACTCCTCAAGTTGAAGTTCCTACAGAGTTCAGTGCGGCCTCGACTTGGCTCGTGAATAACGAAGGCACTGAGACAAATGTGGTTGGAGCTGGATGGATGGTGTGTCGCCTTTTTTTTTTTTTTTCTATTTCATCGATTACACAGCTTAATAAATCATAGTTCATGAACCTAAATATGGCTTTTAGATCAACTTCACTTGCACCATGCTAAAGCCTAAGAGGCCCATAGCTTGAGGCTGAATGTTGACTTTGATTTGCAGGTTTTAGACACATGATAATCTCTTGCCATTGTTTGATTACTGGAAACTGATGCTGCCAAAATCTATGGCTTTTAGTCTTGTAGCACTTAAAGGTGTTTGTTAAACAAAATGAGCTGCTAGCTATTGGTAATTGAAAGACGCAACTTCTATACTACCCCATGAAAGTTATAGCTTTTGAAGGTGGAAGAAGAAGCTGATTTGGAAGCTGTCTCTTCCACGTATCAAACATGCCCTAATTGTATTTGATTCACCATTTTCCATCGAAGCTTCATCGAAGTAATAATTAAGCCAAATTGAATAGGCTATCATTTACGCAGTTTCCACAAACCATAATCGAAACTTGAGAGAGAGATAGGGGAGTGAGGGAGAAAAAGCAGTGGCAATTCGGATTCTGATGACCCAAAATGGTAGCTTTTACAGTATTATAAAGCTCACATGACAATAACATGCTCATAAGTGTTTGCCTCTAGAACTGTGACAAAACCATAGAAAATGTTGATATAAAAGTTGCCCATTTCTGGGGCTGAACTTAATTAAGCCGAATCAAAACTTCATTTTGAGTACTGCTGATCAATGTGAGTTTACTCTTACCAACACTGGAGCAAACCACAAAAAACAATGAACTGAAAAAGAAACAAGAACCCATAGTCAAAACAAATATGTTTTGACAGAAATAGATGATAGTTTACTGTATAATTGGATGGGACACACAGAATATTGATTCGAATTTCAAAAGCTTTTTTACTCAAAGAATTTATATATTCTTAATAGATATTGAAAGACTTATGTCTATTAGTAGCAAATAATGTCTGTATATTTAGAACGTATTCATATTAATATTTAAAATATTGGTATGAGTTTGACAGTTTATACATCTATAGGTTAATCCATCTCTCTTTGGGGACAACCTGACCCGCCTCTTCGTATCTTGGAATGTAAGCTTCATATTACTCAGATCATCGACTCTTGGTACTTATTGTTGATGTATATGAGGTTAATCTGCCGATTATTTGTGTGTATCAGAAAGTAGGTTCTCAGACAACTGGGTGCTACAACCTTTTCTGTTCAGGTTTTATTCAAACAGACAAAAACGTAGTCTTGGGGGCCTATCTCAAACCTATTACAGTTCCGGGTGGAACTGAGTATTTCTTGCACTACAACATTATCAAGGTAATATAAAGCAAACAAAAGTTCGAAAGGTCCATCGCATTCTAAAAGTATTTTCTTTATTCCATCTTCCCATTTAACACCTTCTAATTCACGACCTAATGGTTAGGCAATGAAGCATATTTGTGGTTTCTTTCTGATAATTTTGTAGTGGTTATATAGAAAAAGGAAGAACTCAATTTTGAAATTGACGAATGGATTTTTATACAAAGCCAGCTATGTTATAATATTCTCCATCCAGCCACTTTTTGGCACGATAATGAATCGTAGTCGTGTCAAATATTTGAGAACTACACTTCATCTCCGGTGCCCATCAATAGAAATCAGTAGTGGATGTCCCATGGTATATGCTATAGCATTTAAAGCCTATGTATTACGCTCAGTATGCCGGGACTCGCCTCGGCACGCGACTTGGCTCCTGGCCAAGGTGAGTTATTCGGCCAAGTCCAGAGGGCCAAAAGGCCTAAATAAATTTAAAATATAGGAAAAGGTTTGAAAAACTTAAAAAAAGTAGCAAGAGTAAAATAAACAAAAAATAATTTTATGAAGGTATGAGAATTTTTAAAAAGTTCAAAAAAAAAAAAGTTTAAAACATGGTGAGGTTAGCATATGATTGCAACCCAAACAATCAAGGTAAGGTGCATCATCAAATTTTATCACAAGATGTGATTTTAGTATAAAAAATTCCTTGGATGACTTGAGAATCGATTTTTACTGGACTTCAAATATAGTTCAATTCATGTCAATTTATAAACCCATGAAAATCTTGAAAATGGACGGTCTAGATAATGGTGTTGCAAGATGCAATGTTTTTTGGGACTTAAAATCTTTTTTCTTTTTATCATATTCAAATATTTTGATGTGAATACGATCAATTAGAGGGTTTTCCAGGTTCAAAATGGCCTTTTATGATGGATTTTTGATGTGCACCTTAATTCTACATTTTTAAGATTGCAACTATAGATAAAGCTCTTCCTATAGAAAAAATTAATTTACAATTGCGCCATTTTAAGAAAAACTCCAAAAAAATATATAAAAAAAGGATTATGACAAAATATACGCACCAATCATTGCTAAAAACATTCAAACCCTACAAAAAACAATATAACATTTCTACATTTTTTACAATTTTCATTTTTTTTTTTTTTTTATATTATCACGACTTGTACACCCAGGGTTACTTAGTGTCGCCCTAGTTACTCGCCCAACTTGGACTTGGACAAGTTCAACATGGACTTGAGTAAGTCAACTTGGACTTAGGAGAGTCCCGACACATTGATTGTCCTTTTTTTGGCTATCTCTCTCTAAAGTTCTAAATAAGGGTCTTGTTAAGATACTTGTACTCATGGAGTATTTCTTTAATATACTCAATATTTTTTTATATTCGTTGCCTTTACTTTATGAGACAAAATTTTTTGAGCTAGAGAATTTTTTCATCATTAAGAGGTGTCGAATTAAAAATTTTATAAAAAAGTACCAAAATTCTATTAATGATTAAGAATAATTAATACTCCATGTGGGAGATCGTTCTCCACTATAATTAATAAACATTTTTCCTTTCTACCAAAAGTTTCTACTTTAAGTAATAGCTTAAATTACCTTTAGATAAAAACCTGTTTCTACTTTAAGTAATAGCTTAAATTACCTTTAGATAAAAACCTACAACATTATAAGGTAAGGGCAACATGTATCAAAAAATATTGACTACAATAAAAAAATACTCTATATACAGAATTTATCCTAACAAAACCCTTTAAATAATGGAGTCAAGTGTGTAACTCAGAATAAAGTGACTGCGATGAGACATCTCAAACATGTCTCAGAGATTTGAGGACCCTCTCTCTCTCTCTCTCAGGACAAGAACACCGGGAACTGGTGGTTTTCAGCAGAAAACCTTTCTATAGGCTACTGGCCGGCATCCATGTTCACAAACTTACAGGTAGCCCAGCGGGTCGTGTGGGCGGGGCAAGTTCTGAACACCAAGCCTGGTGGACATCACACCGCAACAAAGATGGGGAATGGCATTTTCCCTGATGAGAAACAGGAGGCTGCTATATTCAAGGATTTGGAAGTTGTAGATGCTGATGGCAAGTGGGCTGGTCCCATAGGCGTTGCCGCATTCCAAGACAACCGAGGTTGCTATGATTCTAAGTCAACAACTTTTTCACTGATAAACGCGTTCCACTTTGGAGGACCAGGTAGAAGTTCCACTTGTATGTAATATGGAGAAATTTTTGGACTTCTACATTCTCATAATTTTCAAATAAACAATAATCAGTATTGTGATAACCATACTTGTTTTTCTTTTTCTTTTTTTTTTTCTTTTTTTTTCTTTTTTTTTTTGTTATCTTTTTTACTCGTATTTCCTTTAAAGGGCCTATTTAGTTCCTGGATTTTTCGATCAGGTAGAAAAATGTGCTATGGAATTGGTATTTACTGACATTTCCTTAAATACAGTGTATGCTGTTTGGATTGCATCCAGTAGAAACTAGAAAAATACAAATTCACTATCTACATTATGCAAATTATCTGGAATATAGTGTATACTGTTTGGATTGCATTCTTATTAGTCCCTCTCTCTCTCTGTTGTTTCCTCCATGATGAGTCTTTCTCCTTTTTCAAACACCAACTCAGTAGCGCATCTCTCCCACCAACAAAGGTTACTAAAAAGGCTCTCTCTCTCTTTGTCTCTTCAGCAAAGCATCCACAAATGTTTGAAAATGACGATAAACTCTTGAAATATTTCCCTTTTAAGACAATTCACCACTTAAGTAAGAGAGAGAAACAAGTATTCAGCAAAAAAAGAAAGGAAAACAAGTGATGCAAGACAAGTTTCTCTTTAACAAAGAGAGAGAAAATTTTAGATAGAGAAAATAGTGTAGGAGTTAGCAAACCCAATTTCAATTCGTTACAAAATAATTCTCTTTAGCAAAGAGAGAACATTGTTAGAGATCACATTGATAATCATTCTTATTGGTATCCAATGTTGTTAGATTCACTTTGGAGCCTTCTTCAGTTTGGTAAGAAAAATGAAACAATGCGGTACTTCGGCCTATTCGGGGAAAAACTTTGGATTTTTTTTTAATATATATATATATATATATAAATAAATTAGATTTTTATATATAAATAAAAAAATTAAAATAAAAAACTTTTTTATAGATATTTATTATCTTCGGCTGAAGAGCCCGAAGCTTCGACTGAATAGTCCCGAAGCAAACACGAATCTGATCTAAGCATCGGCACCTGGCTTCACAGGCCTAAAATCTGAAAGCTTCACCCTCTTTGAGCAAAACGAAGTGAATTTTGACAACACTGCTTGTATTGCCTTTAGAGATCATACAGTACGTAAAGCTTTTCGTAACCAATTCAGACGACAATACCACCAAAAGAGATATCATATATTAGGTGAGGCTTTTGGTAACCGTTGTCTTCCAAGCATGGAGAAAATCTATAGAATTTGAAAATACTCATATATTTCATATTTCACATTCAAGCCTTCTACAGTGATTTATTTGTAGAGTGTAGAAGGCTTATCGAGTTTAACGCTGTTATTATATATAAAATTAAGATCAAATATGCGATGTTCGTAAATTTCGCCATTATACACATAAAAAATTAAATAATAATAAAATAACAATAAATGAACTAAATACCCTAACAAAATCTAAGGGAATTTTGGTAAATATTTTATTTTTTAATTTATACATATTTTTTATAGTTTCATGATAATGAGAAATATAACATACCAAGTTTGAACTAAAAAAATTAAAAAATGATTTAAGGCTAGTTTGGATACATGATTTTTAAATTGTTATCATAAAAAAAGAGTTACGACTTTTCTCATGTTGAACTAAAAAAACTAACTATTTTAATTTATTGCATCCATAAACTGTTTGGCTGTAAAAACTCAAAAGTATGTTAAGAACAGTTTTTATTCCAGTGCTAGCGAATCGTCGTTTCAAATGTGTATTTTTCAAAAATCCGGGCAATACCTTTTAAAAATTCGTTTTTTTTTTTTCTTTTAAAGACCGGGAAAATACAATATTTTTAAAGGAGTGGTAAGAAATGCTCATTTATATTTGTTTATAAACACTTTCTCAACAAACTTCCGTATTCCTGGACTCAATTTTTTAAACCTCTCTTTGAAATTTTAAAATTTGATCAGAAGACAATTTATTAAATTTAGATTAGATAAAGATCACTAAATGATAACTTTTTATAGGTTACGCAATTCTATATTATCTTTTAAAAATTCCAATAACATACATCTAAGAAAATATTTATGAGTTCTTTGTTGATTTTCCAAATAACCAAGTTTTCTTTTGTAAAAAAGTTACCAAAGTCATAAAAAAATTTCTTACTAACGTATTCCCAAATAAAAGATATTCTCTACGAAACATAGTAATTCCAAAAATAAAAATAGAAAAAGGGAGAGTTTAATGCCAGTTTGGACGACCCAAAATTGAAATATTTTTTTATCCAAAAATCTTTTGAAATGAATTTTGACCTGTTTGGACAACTGCTTGATTTTACTAGATTTTTAAATTAAAAGAAAAAATTAATGCCGTATGAGGGCAAAAGTTACCATCCAAAACAATTCAAGTAAGACTTGAATTTTTTCAAAGGAAAGTGTGGTCTTCTTTATCCTATTCAGAACATAAGAGCTTTTTCTCTCATACCACCCCATAGAAACCCCTTCTCTTTCAAAATCAGCAGAGAATTTTCACTTTCTCTCTCTAAAAAACCAGAAAAAATACAATCCGCGTGCCGTAGGAGGCATCTTTGTAAGTCTAGGTCCTTTCTCTCTCTACAAAACTAACCTTTTCTCTATTATGTCTTTGTAACAGGGGATCAACTTCGATAGAATTATCGAGATGAACAATCAAAATACAAACTTTAGGCCATTAAGGCCCCCAGAAGGGTTAGAGCATTCTGTTGGCTTCTGGAATAGGATAAAGTGTCGACTGGAAAGCAACGCCACAAGAGCGGGAAAATTCTACTCAGTGTTTGCATATTTTTGCAAACAGGTTGCAGAAAACAATAACCATATGTTCCTCCAATCTCCCTTTGCTTCATCCTTACGGAATAGGTCCTAAGCATTTCCAGATCGCAATGGTTGATACCTGAAAACAACCACCATTTGTTTGCCTTTATTATAAGCCTACCATTCCCCAAGACTAGAATCCATCTGTGGAGAACCTTAATTGCTGCATTGCTTTGGTCTTTATGGAAGGAGAGGAATTCTAGAGTGTTTGAGGGCCTCTAAAAAGAACCAGCAGATGTTTCTCATGCACAAGCCTATCTAAACCTAAATGGCTACCTCAAAGAATTCTTCTCATTGAACTTTGTTGTCCTCCTCAATATCTATAAAAGAAAGTAGTGAAATCAGTGAAGTGAAAACCACCTCCGAAGGGATGGCTCAAACTGAACTTTGATGAAAGCGTTAATTCAGAAACTAAAAAAACATGCTATGGAGGCATTCTCAGGGATTCACATACGAATGTCATTTTTATGTACAGTGGACAACTTGATTTAATCGACATTCATGAGGCAGAATTGATGGCGGTTAAAGAAGGATTCCTTAAGCTTCAGGAAGACCATGTTCGCGTCATCATCGAGGGAGATTCAGCAAACGTATTCAATTAGTGTGCTCACCCAAGACTTGTCCCATGGCGCCTGACCTCTATAATGGATGAATCCTCTTATCTACACAAGGCAGGGAGTTGACCTTCTTTCATATCAACAAGAACGAAGATGCTGACAACCTCACTAAACTAGCCACTAAGGCCCTCTTGTCTCTCTGCTTTGTTTTTTCCTTATTCTCTCTCCCTCTACTCTCTTTCTTTCTCTTCTACTATCTTTTCTTCTTTGTCCCTTCTTTGCTTTTTTTGTAATGTTTCGTTTACTCAAAAAACAAAAAAAAAACTGAAATATATTTTTGGAATTTTCCTTGTCACATGCCCCATTTTTATACGTTCATCTTTTTTTGGATTTCTTTTTTATTGCCTTCAAACATAAATCATTTTTTAAATCCATGTGTTATATATATATATATATATATATAACATTTTATGTTGTCTTTGGTTATCTTTTACGTTAAAATTTATTTTATTTTTAGTACTTTTATTTTTATTTTAAAGGCCTTTTGGACCCTATTTCTTTGGCTTGGAAAAAGGCTGAGTCGAAGACTCGAGGCGAGTTTAAAAACAACTACTTCTACACAGATATTGATGTAACTTTGTTAGTAAGAATAAAAATAGGGAAAACAACTAATTCTATACCTATGTTGATGTAACTTTTATAGTAAGAATAAAAATAGGGATTGTCTACAAAGAAACCATGTATCTTTTGTACAAGGGGGTGACAACTATTCACACTCATGAAATGTCAAATTGGATGGTTTCGAGTGAGTCATGAAGGCCGGGAAATATTTGTTTTTTGAACTTTGTGCCTAATTAATGACACTATTACATCCACCAATTTTGAAATCCAATGAATAAGAATGATTGTGACCTCCTTGTACAAAAGGTAAATGGTCTATTTGTAGATAATCCCATAAAAATAATATTTCATTAAAGAATTGGATTTTCTTGACTACAATTGCAAATTTGGTGAAATTGGAGACTGGTTCAAAGGTTTAGCTAGAGAAGATGAAAATGTAGTCTTGAAGTATACTCATTCCCCTTTACTTAAAAGAAATAGCTAATTTATAAATAATGGAATTGTAGATAATGAGATCATTTTCCTTTAAAACAAGGGGGTGACAATTATTTTTAACTATCCAATGTGAAATCTGATAGCTTGGGTATCACAAAGTTCGAAAAGTTTTTATTTTTTTTAAAACTTTGAGCTTGGTCAATGGAATCAATGCGGCCATTAAATTTCACATCTAATGATCAAGATTAATAGTGACCCCCTTTACCAAAGGTCCATTGTATATACTTTTCCGTTCGTGAAAAAAAGAGAAAAAGAGAGATTTGTAGTCCATTATGTAAAAGATAAGATAAACCTTGTCAAATAGAGGAAGTGAACCTTGTCAAATAGAGGAAGTGCTCCTTTAAATAGATATAAAGATAAGATAAACCTTGTCAAATAGAGGAAGTGCTCCTTTAAATAGATATAAAGATAAGATAAACCTTGTCAAATAGAGGAAGTGCTCCTTTAAATAGAAATACAACTTTTAATTATAATAAAGGCTCTGAGTCGGGCCTTATCGTGAGAGGAGATTCTCATTCATGTATAGACACTGTACATTAAGCTCCAAGAAGCCGTGCATTTAGGATAACATGTACATCTCATTATTTGTTTTGAGTAAAACAACTCTCATTTTTTCTATAAGAAATTTTAATTTAAGCTACCTTTAAATACCCTGTCAAAAGAGAACATAGACTTGCAGAGTATCAACACAAGGTTGAAGAAACTGACAGGTTAAAGTCTAGTCTTTGGTTTGGTGATAAGTCTTAGTCAAAATATTTTTCTGCAATGTCTCTATTTGTGTGAATGTCATTCAAATTGGTTTGTTGATGTGTTCTTTCTGTACGATGATATTTTGACTTTTGCATAACAAGATTGCAGGGTACGGGGGACATTACATATGGTTTTTTGCGCTTATTTTACTATCCTTTGGCCTTGGAGTCAAAGGCAGAAGAATTGGTTTTGGCTATGAAAATGCAGTTAAAACCATCCATGTAATCACGCTTTCTTATGTAAAGTTAAATTTCATGAAGTTAGAATTTCTAATATATTTTTTTTGTCAAGTTTTGATTATGGCTGTTTTGGCTTTTGTCGATGCAGAGTGATGGAGATGTACTTGATTGCGTCGATATTTATAAGCAACCTGCCTTTGATCATCCTCTCCTCAAGAATCACACTATTCAGGTTTGTTTGTCTATGTTTTCATATTAGTTTTTAATCTTAGCTGTTGTTGCCTTCTCATGATAACGTCTGGCCCTTTCTGATTAATGAGTGCATCATAGCTCTCTAGATGCGAGTGTGCAAGTGTAAAGTGCTCCATATGATTCTTCTCCACACTTAGTTCTTAGAACACTATAGAAGATGATATTGAAATAAAGGCCTATGTGATCTTTTACCGGAGAATAATTTATTTTTTTTTTTTCTTTACCTTTTTCTTTTGGCAAATGATAACTTACAAGTGGTCTTTATTACAATGAGATAAATTTCAAAATAAAATCAACATAACAATAAAATCAAGATTTCAACAACTTGATGTCCTTGAAACAACTATGCACTATGCTTAAGAATAAAAGATAAGATTGCAAGAAACAAAAAGAAGGGTGTTGGAGATTACCTCAACCGGCTTATTACACCCCACACCGAGTCACCACCATTCGATACCGTGGGATCAATGATCAACGTCCAATCTCAACAGGGAAAGTAAGTTTAGGCCAAGCCACACCAATAGAACATGAATCCCTTTTATCACAAACTCAAACCCTAGGTGAATTCTCTTAGCAACCTAGTTTGAAAGAGAATAAGGGTAGGGCGTGCCACCCAAGGGAGGCACTCATGGCCCCCACCTTCTAGAAATATGGTAGGCCCATATGCACAATGAGCCCTCATGATATTTTTATATATTTAAAATTAATAAAAGGATTTTAGAATATTATTTGAATATTTAAACAATTGTAAAATCAATATATTTAATTTTATAAATCCAAAAATTATAAATAAAATATCCAAGGGTTCATAAAAATTCAAATAATAATCCTAAAATAATTTTCATGTGGCACTCTACCTTCAACTGTAGACAACAGACCACACTTTCTTTATCAGACCGACCCAGTGTTTCCCATGGCCCACAATCCAAGCAACGGCTCATTAGCAGGTCACCAAAGTCTAGGTGATGAGCCAAGAGATTGCAATCCCAGTCCATGAATTTCAGGTCTTGGATATGAGTCAAGGTCACCTAGACCTGATGCGACCATAGCTCCTATGGTGAATAGGGGTATCTCGCGCACATGCACACGCTTCACTCTAAAAGATAGATTTTTGGCTTTCCCGAACAATCTATCGAGATACATGTCGTGTGATGGCACATGGATGGGACTTTGGCCCCTATGTCTGTAGGCCACCATCATACACAAGGGTCACACAGTCTCTTGACTCACTCATCCAGGTATATTATCTGACCTCATCAAGGGTTAACCCATTAGAACTCTTCTAGGTTTGTTTTTTATGCCCAGGTAACATGAGTTTTTCCCAACCGACTGGCCTAAATCGTCAAGCACAGTCTGGTATCTGTAAATATCGTTTTCTTAGTATGGTCTACAATGAACCACACTCCCACATAGTTCATATTCCACTATATCATTTCATTTTACAAGTACTCATATGGCTTTTAAAGGCCACATAAACCCAACATCTCCCATTTGGCCTTTGAAGGACTTACATGCTCTCTTTCTCACTTTCTCTCATTCCCATCTCTCCCTCCCAATTACAATCTCTCTCAAGAATTTTTACTTATTCTCTCAATACATTAATCATGGCTTTCGCCATCAATCATTTCACAAAAGGATTTATAGCGGCAACACCTTTTTCTCTTTGCTGCTCGGATCTCATCCCAAAAGTGGTCGTAGCTCATCCTTCACATCGCATCATGAATCATTGACTTATTGTCACAGAAGACCATCACGTACCCTCATCGCATGGGGTCGTATGTTCATAGGTTCAAAAAGTGTTTTTCAAATAAGCTGCTCCCTTTTGTAGCCATACAATCAACACCACACATTTGAGTTCCATGAGTGAACAACATTATTGTCTGTTGTTCCATCTAGCATGTCAAATACTAGCAAGTGCTCCCACTGAAATATTTAGTTTATCTTGATCTCGATATTTATCAATCTCACCTCATTTCTCAAGTGATAAAAATATGGTTTTATATGCTTGGAGTTCTTATGGAATCGTGTCTCCTTTGTCACGCATATCGCCGCCGTGGTGTTGTAGAAAATTCTTACTGCCTCACAACGCACGAGGTGAAAATCAAAGTTGATTAAGAAATTTATTAATTAATACGGCCTCTTCGATCACCAAACAACAATCCACATACTCTGCCTCCATGGTGGACAATTTCGTCACATCTTGTTTCTTTGATTTATAAGAAACTGCACCCCCTCCAAGCATAAACACATATTCAGATGTAGACTTCGCATCATCTAGATCTGTGAGATAGCTTGCACCTGTATATCTGAATATCCAAGCAGCTAAAAAAAAGGGGATTGTAGCAGCTCCCACTCAATTATTGCATATACAACATATACATTCTCCACATTCTTATACATATACCATGAGGTAGCATATCAAGTCTCATGCAATATGTAATTCAATACCCGTTGGTTTCACAATATGCAAAAACCTTCATGAACCACAAAGGTTCAACCACACAAGACATCTTGGTAGTAAATTCATACAAACCAAGTTATCTAATCAACATAACATGTGTCAAGGAAGCCTAGCACGATGGCATCCTACAACATTCCCTACGGTTCAAAGTCTTAGGTAATCGAGGATTCTAATTAACTAGAAACATGGTTCAAAGCATATAGGTATTTAAAAAAAGGTGCATGATAGTTTTTCTCCCACTTTTATAAATACTTCAAAACAAAATGTTTTTCTTTTTAATAAAAAAATTTGACTTGGTATATATATATATATAAGCAATAGTTATATAATAGTATGATAGTTTAAAATGATTTTTATAAA